AACTCTCTCCTGGATTTCAGTAGAGAGCCAGGGAGAAGCACAAAAGTGGGACTTGATAAAATAGGGGCACTGTGCCATGCTGACACATTTAAGCTTGTACAGGCATTTCCCGTGCACCTACCATTTGGCTGGCAATCTTGCCAGGAAGCAATGAGGAAGGAGGCAGTCCGGTGGACCCTGGGCCCCAGCAACCACTCCAGCACAACCCAGGATGCTCCTGTGAATGCCACCAAGCTTCTCTACATGACATCATCCCCCACTGTGTCCAGGCCCCACAGCAAGGTGCACGTGCCTGCCACTGTTGATGCCCCTTCCCAGCAGCCCCTGGGGTCAACGGCAAGCAGGACTAAGGAGTGAAGACAACACTCTGACACAACAGCCAGCCAGACTCAGGGCCACGCCCAAGCAACTGGCCAGAAGGCTGGCAACAGGAGCGGGGGGGGGGGGGGGCAGGGGTGCACACCCTATCTCTCTCAGGTCAATCCTAAGAGCAGGAAAAGTGTGTCAAAAGACAGCAGACTGAGACTGTCATCAAGCCAAGCAGGGAAGGTGAAGGTGACAGATGCCATGAGCCACCTGAATGGTGAATCCCAGCTCTGTGTCACAATGTTTTCATGGAACAGAAGGGATGAAGGTGGAGGAAGGGGCATCCCACAGGGTTCGGGTTGGTTCTCTTCCCCTTCACCGGCCCTGGCCCTGGGGAGAAGGAAAGGGAGAAGAGGGGAAGAGATGGGAAGATGGCACAGGAGATCTGACCCTTGCAAAGTACAATTTCAAACACTGCCCTTCACTCTGGCTTCTCCTCTGGCAAAGATTTTAGGGGATCCCACAGATCCATTGTGGATTTATGGTTCTCTCCATCATCCTTGGAACTTTTTGCAAAAAGTAAGGGGCCAGAAGGACCTTCTAGCCACCTCCCTGCACCTGCCATCTGCCCAGAGCTCAGTAGCTGCCACACTGCTCTCGTGTGGACCCAGGATTCTCCAAGTAAGCCCTCATGGCCTACCCTGAAGATGCACCCCATACTCCTGGCCGATGGTGGGTGGGGAGCAGGCTACTGTCCTGGTAAGTGTCCTCAGCAACTAGCTCAATCCTACAGCTGTTCTGACCCTCCCCCTGACCTGGGTGGAAATCAGGGGACCCAGGGGCCACTAAAGGACCCTGGACTCTGATAGGGGCACACTGTGACCTGACTCACTATTCCAGGCAGCTTAGCTGAGTTAATCTGAGTTACATAATAACAGCTCCCCACTAGCATTTTATGAGTCACTAGCCCCTCTGAATTCCTGGAAGGGGTCTCAGAGGAGGAACGAGCCTGGTTTGCACACCACTGCTCTGGCCCCGAGAGCCCCCAGCCTGTCTCCCCCTCGGTCTGCCAGGCAGGAGGCAAGCAAAACCCTCTCCAGCTAGACTTCAAACGCAGGAATCTAGATCAAGGATATATTTGGCTTTCTGAGCTAATCTTTACATCAATTTGGTCTCTGCTGACTTGTAACCCTTTGAAGCAAACCTAGCAACCGTGTATTAAAATCATGTGACTCCCACATAACCCCTAGAGAGATGCCCCAGTCTCAGGAGACCCACAGCATGGGGTTCCAAATCCATAGGCTCTATGAAAACCCAGGGTTCCATGGCATGGTTAAAGCATGTGTTTATTTCCCAAGAATGCTCAGGGCAATGTCTAATGATCACCCTGCCTTTGTTGGGGTCAGAAATGACGATACGGCTACAAGGCTGGGTGGGAACAGCTAGCCCCCAGGTGAGCCCAGTAAGGAGGAGGATGCAGACCACAGAGGGACGAACAAGCTGTCCTGTCTCCAGGGACCAACAGTAGACATCTCAGGGAGGTGTGGAGCCGTTTGTAAGCTGCTCGCCCTGCTTCTTTCCCCAAGGCACAGAGGAGAAGAAAGCCGGGGAATAAATAAACAAACAGGCAGGGAAGGGGTTGCTACTACCAACTCCTCCACTTGGCCCAAGGATAAGAGAGAGTGGTGGGGTGTGCTGACGTTGCTGGAAGCTTTCCACTACCTTCTAAATTTACCATTTATTCTAGCATTATTATCCAGATGAGTATCATGGCCTCTGACCCTCGATGGATTCCAGTTGCAATCAGTTTAGTAGCAGCAGCTGGAAATGAGAGAGAGCCAGCATTCACCCAGTGCCCAGTGTTTGCAGACAAAGCATTGACTCCATCCACTGAAGGCTGGCTGCGCAGCCCCAGCTGCTGGGGGCTTTATGCTGAGGCTAGTGACAGCCAGCCCTGTGGATCCCTGCCGGGAAGCCCAGACACAACACAGCACACACTGGGAGAGCTTGAGAAAACTGTGAATTGTGTTCTTAACATGTACTCAGGGCCTCCCTAGCACAAGGCATGCCTACCGCTCAGGGTTGGGAGACAGGGTTGGCTGGGAGGAACAGGGCCAGGCTTGAGTCTGTCTGCCTGGTCTTAAACACAACCCAGCAGAGGCTGTGGGTGCTCGTTCCCGGCTACTCCACATCACCCCATGAGGCCACAGTCTCTTCAGGTCAACGGAGGAGGCAACCAGGGCCAGACCTGGGGATCTGGACTGCCTGCTGAGTAAGCACACACTGTACCCCACCAGTCCTCCCTCTCCCCAGTGCTCAGGGACCTGTCAGCTCTGCTGGCCCCAAGTCTTCAAGGACTACCTTTCTCCGGACTCAAGGAAGCCCTGATACAACTCCCACCAACAGACAAATAAATAAAAGCAGAAAAATCCAACTCCATCTGCTCCTGCCTCCAAGCATCCAGGCTTGCATACAGCTCAGCTCCAGCCCAGAAGCCACCAAGCCTGGCTCCGAGTGGGAGCAAGGAAGCCCCTCCCTCAGCTTGCAGGCAGCCTCCTTTTCCCAGGCAGAATGAGCGCTGCCTTCTGCCACCTCTGCTGGAAGTGACACCTGTCCTAACCAGGCTCCAAGCTTGGCAGCAAGATGCCCAGTGCTCATCCAGGGAGCAGTGAGGAGCAGAGAGCAAGCTGCGATGAAGGGCTGTGAGGCAGAAGTGCAACTCCTGAGCTCAGGCTCCATGTGCCTGTGCAGAGGGAACAAAACCGCTTAGAGCCTCTGCTACACGTACAGGGTTAGCTCTCCCATCAGGACTGCTGAGAGTAGCAGCTCTCCTCGGGGCTCTATGTGAAGAAAATCTTGCATGCTAACATCTGGCAGGGAGGGACCCTAAAAGGTCAAACTTCAAAATCCCCAACAGAATGGTTTCTGAAAGCCTGGTTGTGCTCATGCACAGCTATTGTTCTGTGGTAACAGCTCGAAGGAAGTCTGTCTGCCTGGAATTTGTTCTCTCCCCATTATCAAAATATACTGCCCTTTCTCTCTAACAACTTGTGCAGGTAAGTTGCAAGCAGGTGCTAGACTGCAGCTCCGGAAGCAGCGAGGAGCTCAAGCTGCCTCTCGGCAGGGCCGGGAGGGAATCCACTCGGTTGCCCCTTAAGCCCTGGGATTTGCTGAGTACTGGGACAGTCGGAGGAGAAGGGCAGAAATACAGACAGAGCACCGAGAGGAGCTCATGCCAAAAGAAGCTGTCCTTGCTTCCTGTGGTCCACACCCCAGAATTACGGAGCCTAAACCTCATCTCACCACAGTCTATGGATGGACTGAGGCTCGGCCAGGGCCCCATGCCCAGCAGGTCGGCCTGGTGATTAACCTCTTAGAGCCCACAGCGCAAACAAACCCAGCCACCAGGAAAAGGAGTGCCAGTAATGACGTGTGACAGATGCTGCTGACCGGCATGCATCCCTGGGCGCCAAATCTACTCGCAAATCAAGGGCAGCTAGAAAACACTCGCATGCCAGTCTCCTTCAGACTTCTCAAAATCAGGTCGCGCACATGTTCCTCCCTCCTTTGGCCCCACTTTCTCCCCAGCTTCATGCCGGTGGGGGTGGCTGAGGCAGCCTGCTCCAGCAGCCACCGGCCCCTTGCGTCCTCAACACGGGAGCGCAGTGCATCCCAGTGGACAAACACCAGAAGCGCAAGCAGCCCTTGTCAGCTTCCATCTGTGTCGTTCAGCCAAGTCCCAACCGCCGACCCAGGCACAGCAGCTCTGGCTGGAAACCCCTTATATGGGGGCAGGGGCAGTAGGCTCTCTGGTCTGTAAAAGGTGCGGTTGCGTCCTGGGCTCCCCAAAGCCGCCCAGAGCAGGACCCAAAGAAGCCAGAACGATTCGCTGGATGGGCAAAGTTTGCAGAGAAGGGTCTTTCTGGCCAGCCCCATCACCGCGCTGGGCTTGAGTTCCTGCTGGCCCGAAAGTCCCGGACACAGACAAGCCCTGTTCGCCTGTGTGCCTGTGAAGGGTGCTTAGAGGAAGTTGCCTGTTCTCATCACACTCCCCTAGAATCCAAGCCCTCCAGACCCAGCTGTCCGCCAGCTGCCTGCGACCTTCTGCCCGGAGGTCACCCCGAAGCGGCTGGGCAGGCAGCTGGGCTCCCGCTACACTCCTGTTCAGGGGCCCCGGTCCCGAGGAACCGAGAGGAGAGCTGGCCCAGCGGCTGTAGGGTTCTGGGCTCCCCAAACTCCACTGCAAAGCTGCTCGGGAACAGGGAGGGTTGCTGGCTCTCCCGAGCAGCGCCAGCGTCAGCCCCGGCCCCCGAGTCCGCCGCGCCCAATGGCCCGCAACTCGCTCCAGGCTCCGGGCTCCGGGCTCCGGGCTCCCGAGAGAGGCGCGCCGGGGCCGCCCGCCAGGACACTGCGCTGCTGGCGCCCCGAGCCGCGGGCGCGCCTGGCCAGCCCCGCGGCCAGGTCACTGGGGCGAGCGCCCCTGCCTCGACCCCAGACTTGCGGAGCCTGAGAGACAGCCTCTCCCTGCCCAGCCTCAGGAGCCCGCTGAGGCGGCCGCGCGCCGCGGCTTCGGAGGCACCTCGCGGGCCGCCCTAGGGAGGCAAGAAGCGGCGCCTTCGCTTGCAACAGTGAGCAGCAGCCCGGCCCAGCACCCACGCACCCCCCACGCACCCTCCTCCAGCCGAGTCGCTCACCTGAGTCCCAAAAGCTGTTGGATCCACATGGTCACGTTTCAGGGAACCGAGCCTCAGACCTTGTTTGCCCCGGCCATCT